GGGGGGGGGGGGGGGGAGCTTTTAATACAATAAAATAAATTTTTAACTTTTATTTTTGGAAAAAAGTTTACTTTCCTCACGTTAATCTTTGTAATTATATTGTCTATATCTATATGTATGATTTAGATTACTAATACTTTTTGGTAATATCTTTGTCAAATGGAAATATTTTGATTTATTTAGTAGTTGCATTTCTAAAGGGAGTCTTATAAGTGAATTAAATAGTTTAAAATGTATTATGGGAAAAATGTATTAAGTAAGCTTGCTATTTAAACCTTTGTACTCAGCTTTCCTCTCTGAGGAGACATCATAAATCTAGCAAACCACTTGACTGTCCCTTCTCAGGGGATATGAAGAGATTGCTGTTGATTATATAGGACAAACTTTTGCCAGCACAAATTTTTCAAAAATGTGTTTTTCCTTGAAGTATTCCATTCAAATTGCACAAAAAAGCAAAGAGATGGAATATATACTGAGATATATGTAAAAAAATATCAACTGGCATTACATGGAAAGAGAATGTGTAAAGTGCTTTTACAGTAGTGCCAAAACTTCTTTGCAACAGAAGGTAATGATAAAGAGCATTTGTATAAGAAAGGCAGTTGTGGTATACCCTTTGTATCATATGGCATAGCAAGAAAAGATAGATAAGCAAGATGAGCAAAATAAAGAGACTTTCACAGCTGAAGGCAGATCATTATCACACCTTAGAAAAATATAGAATTTTGATTTTTTTGGTCATAAGTAAGTTCCTCCATGTCCAAAATTTTGTTATAATCCAAATATCATTACAATAAAATAATTGGTTCCAACTCTGTACCTTTTAATATGAAGTGATTCATTTTTTACTAATTTGTAAAACTGGTTGAGTTGCTGGTAAGTGACTTTGTGAGATGTCTCTGAGTATAAAGGGTTAAAGGGATACTTTGGGGTTTTGGGGATTTTTTTGTTTTGTTTTGTTTTTTGGGTTTTTTTGTTGTTGTTGAGTTGGAGTCTCACTCTGTTGCCCAGACTGGAGTATAGTAGCACACTCCCAGCCACCACAGCCTCAACCTGCTGGGCTCCAACGATCCTTCTGCCTCAGCCTTCCAAGTAGCCAGAACTATAGGCACGCACTACCACACCCAGCTAATTTTTTATTTATTGCAGAGACAAGGTCTTGCCAAGTTGTCCAGGCTGGTCTCGAACCCGCGGGCTCAGGCAATCCACTCGCCTCGGCCTCCTAAAGTGCTGGGATTACAGGCTGAGCCACTGAGCCCAGTCAAAGGGATACTTTTGAGCCAGGCACAGTAGCTCATACCTGTAATCCCAGCTACTTGGGAGTCTAAGGTGGGAGGTTGCTTGAGCCCACAGTTTGAGGCTGTAGTAAGCTATGATCGTGCCACTGTACTCTTGCCTGGGCAACAGAGTGAGAGACTGTCTTTCAACATAAAATAAATAAGGTTTTTCTTTTTTGAGTTGGAGTCTCTTGTTGTCCAGGCTGGAGTGCAGTGGCACACTCACAGCCACCTCAGCCTTAGCCTGCTGCGCTTAGGAGATCCTTCCACCTCACCCTTCCAAGTAGCTGGAACTACAAATGCATGCCACCTCGCCTGGATAGTTTTTGTGATTTATTGTAGAGATGAGGTCTCACCAAGTTGCCTGTCTGGTCTCGAACTCCCAGGCTCAGGCAGTCTTCTCGCCTTGGCCTCCCAAAGTGCTGGAATTACAGACTGAGCCACCATGCCCAGTCAGGGTATTTTTTACATTTAAAGGATTTTTTTCACTAATTTTCCTTGTAAGTTAATCTATACAATTTTTGCAAGTACTAACTAAAGTTCATTTGCTTGTTTAGTAAAATAAAAAATGGCAAATGAGGAATATAAACTGTGTTACTTAGAACTTTGATTTTGTTTTTACAGACCCTAACACATGAGCAGAAAGAAGGAGCCTTCTCCAATTTCCCTATTTCTGAAGAGACTATAAAGCTTCTAAAAGGTACTGTGAATTTTAATGGATATGTAATTGAAAATTTACTACTAGGTTTATAAAACTCTTGTGCCTTTTCTGACCAAAAGGAGAATGTAAAAAGCACAGAAAAATAGCTCTTTTTTAATTGCAGTTACTTTGACATCATCCTTTTCAGTATTCTGACCTCTTTTTAGCCTTAAGAATTTTATGTACTTGTCAACCGTTTAGGTCAGTTTTTTTTGTTTGTTTGTTTGTTTGTTTGTTTGTTTTTGAGTTGTTGTCTCACTCTGTTGCCCAGGCTGGAGTGCCATGGCACACTCAAAGCCACCCCAGCATCGACCTGCTGGACTCTGGCAATCCTTCCGCCTCAGCCTTCCAAGTAGCCGGAACTACAGGCATGTGCTACCACGCCTGGCTAAATTTTGATTTATTGTAGAGACAAGGTCTCGCCAAGTTGCCTGGGCTGGTCTCAAACCTCCAGGCTCAGACAATCCACTTGCCTCGGCCTCCCAAAGTGCTGGGATTACAGGCTGAGCCACCAAGTCCAGCCTAGACCAGTTTTTAAATAATTCCTGTTTGCAGTAAGAATAACTGTAAATGTCACTAGGTGATGTATCTTTAGGAAGACATTGAAGAATCAGGATTGTCATTTTTAAATAAATATATTTTTTCCGAATGCTGATCGTAAAGAAATATTTTAATGTAATCTCATTTTACAGGTCGAGGGGTAACATATCTCTTTCCTATTCAAGTTAAGACCTTTGGTCCTGTATATGAAGGAAAAGATTTAATAGCTCAAGCACGGACAGGAACAGGAAAGACATTCTCTTTTGCCATCCCCTTGATTGAAAGACTCCAAAGAAATCAAGAAACATTTAAAAAAAGCCGCTCACCAAAGGTAATTATTATTGGGAGTGAAAGCTTTAAACATTATTCTAATGAAAAGGGAAAGAATGAATTATGTCAGTCCTAAGTTCAAGTGCCCCCAAAATAGAAAAGTTAGTCCTGTGGCATACAGTAAAAATATGTTGATTTTCACAAAAAGAAATTTCTAGCAAAGCTAAAGTAAAGTAGTTATTGCATATGAATGTATGGATCCCTAGATGTCTTTTTTGTTTTTTTTGAGTTAAGTCTCACTCTGTCCCCCAGACTGGAGTGCAGTGGCCACTCCTGGCCACCGCAGCCTCCACCTGCTGGGCTCCAGCGATCCTTCCACCTCAGCCTTCCAAGTAGCTGGAACTACAGGCGCATGCTACTATGCCCGGCTAATTTTTTGATTTATTGTAGCGATGAGGTGTCACTAAGTTCTCCAGGCGGGTCTCGAACCCACGGGCTCAAGCAATCCATTCACCTCAGCCTTCCAAAGCACGGGATTACAGGCTGAGCCACCGAGCCCGGGTGTTGGTATATCTTATTTAGGAGTACTTACAGTTAATATAGTTAGTGACCCTTCTCTTTTTCTGGCCTGACCTTTGCTTTTATTTTAAACAGATGAATTTTTTTCTAATTGCAAAAATTTTTTTTGTGAGAATGGGGTCTCACAATGTAGCCTAGACTGGTCTCAAATTCCTGGCCTCAAATGATCTTTCTGCCTCAGCCTCCCAAAGTGCTGGGCTTACTGGCATGAGCCACTACATGACCTAAAGAAATGAATTTTCTAAAAAGGTATTCATTTATTTGGTCATTCAATGAGTGTTCCAGTATCATTGATTTCACTGACTGACTTTGTTTTTTTTAAGTCATGTTCTTATTGTGTTGCCCAAGAGGGAGTACAGTGGCACAATCATGGCTTACCTCCTGGGCTCAGGCAGCCCTTTTGCCTCAGCCTCCCAAGTAGCTAGAACTATAAACATACATCACCATGCCTGACTAATTTTTTTATTTTTTGTAGTTTTGAGGTTTCACTGTGTTGCCTAGGCTAGTCTTGAACTCCTGAACTCAAGCAATTCTCCCACCTCAGCCTCCCAAAGTACTGGATTACAGGCATTAGCCACTGTGCCTGGTCTGGTTGATTTTTTAAGAAGAATATTACAGAATTGATATTGCTAGTTCCTATATTATTGGGGTACTGGTTATCTGTCTTAATTTATAAATAATAAAGTCAACTAATGAGGGGCTAGTACAGTTTTAGCCTAAAATTTGACCTTTTTAGAACCTATGTGCACTTAAAGGTTTGTAAATGTGAAGAAGAAAAAAATCAGCCTCATAATTTGAGCAGGAGTGTGACTAAAAGTAGTTTGTTTCTTGAAAAACTTCTAAGTGATATTATAATATAAAAGCAAATTCTCTTATATAAATATAATTAAATCCTAATGGTCTTGGATCAGCTATCCCAAATCAGGTTGACTGTGTTGGCTTACAGGATAAATCTATTTTGGAGAGTTGTGTTTCTTAGGTGAAATTAGGAAAGACTGCAAATAAAAGAAATAGGACACAATTCTAATACTACCTTAAAAAGCTTAAATCTTTTTGGAGAGTTGTTTCTTGGATGAAATTAGACAAGACTGTAAGTAATAGAAATAGAACACAATCCCACACTGCCTTAAAAAGCTTTTGTACTAGAAAGATATTATTGGAGATTCCAGCCACACCATTTCTAGCTGTTTCATGTTGGCTAAACTTTTAACTTCTCTAAGACACAGGTTCCTCATCTATGAAACTGGGATAATAATACCACCCTTGGGTTTTTGTGACAATCAAATTAGGTAGTTCCTATAGAGCACATGGTGAACATACATTCATTTGTTTAAAAAAAAATTTTTGAGTTTCTATTCTGTGCCAGACACTGTTTGAAGTGTAATGAATAAGGTAACCCATACTGATGTAAAAACTTGCCTTCGTGGAGCTTACATTTTAGTGAGTGAGATAGACAATCAGCAAATGAGTAAACTATGAATATCTTAGGTGGTATAAATTCTGAGCAGAGGTAGTAAAGAGGGACAGAAGGATAATGAAAAGAGGCTTGAGAACTTCACTGAAGAGACCAGAAGGTAGTAGGAAAGATATAAATATAAGCTGCTGTTTTGGGATTTTAAAAATTTTTTTAATTTTTTAATTTTTTGAATTAGAGTCTCACTCTGTCACCCAGACTGGGATGCATTGGCACGCTCCCGGTCATAGCACCTCAACCTGCTGGGCTCCAGCGATCCTTCCGCCTCAGCCTTCCAAGTAGCTACAGGCACGCGCTACCATGCCTGGCTAATTTTTTATTTTATTGTAGAGACAAAGTCTTGCCAAGTTGCCTGGGTGGGTCTTGGACCCACGGGCTCAGGCGATCCACTTGCCTTGGCCTTCCAAAGTGCTGGGATTACAGGCTGAGCCACCGAGCCCAGTGACTTTTTTTTTTAAGTTGGAGTCTCACTCTGTCACCCAGGCTGGAGTACAGTTACACGCGAACCACCACCACAGCCTTGATGTACTGGGCTCAGGAAATACTTCCACCTCAGCATTCCAAATAGCTGGAACCATAGGCGTGTGCCACCACGCCTGGCTAATTTTTTGGTTTATTGTAGAGATAAGGTCTCGCCAAGTTGCCCAGGCTGGTCTTGAACCCCTGGACTTAGGTAATCCTCTCGCCTCCACCAGGCGTGAGCCACTGTGCCCAGCACGCTACTATTTTTATTGCTATTTGTGCTCTGTCTTCAAATACTTGAGACATTAATGTTAGGCCGGACTCTGTGGCTCATGCCTATTATCCCAGCACTTTGGGAGACCAAGGTGAGAAGATTGCCTGAGTCCAGGGATTTGAGACTAGCATGGGCATCTTGGTGAGACCTCATCTCTATAATAAATCAAAAAATGAACCAGGCGTGGTGATACATGCCTATAGTTCCAGGTACTTGGAATGCGGAGGTGGAAGGATCGCCTGAGCCCAGCAGGTTGAGGCTGCAGTGACTGTGAGTGTGCCATTGCACTCTAACCTGGGTGACAGAGTGAGACTCCAACTCAAAAAAAAAAAAGACATTAATGTTGACATTCTTATTTATTTTTTTGAGGCAAGTTTTGCTCTGTTAACCATTTGGAGTGCAGTGGCGTGATCATGGCTCTTCTCAGCCTTGACTTCCTGGGCTCAGTCTCCATCCACTTCAACCTTCCAAGTAGCTGGGGCTACAGCGCATGCCAACACACATGACTAATTTTTTGCTTTTTGTAGAGATGAAATCACTATGTTGCCTAGGCTGGTTTCAAATTCCTGGTCTCAAGCGATTCTCCTGCCTCAGCCTCCCAAAGTGCTGGAATTACAGACATGAATCTCTGCTCTTGGCCTGACTTTTCAAGGTTTAAATGCACTTTGAAAAAATAGTTAGACTGGGCATGGTGACTCATGCCTATAATCCCAGTACTTTGGGAGGCCGAGGTAAGAGGATTGCCTGAGCCCACGGGTTTGAGACCAGCCTGGGCAACTTGGCGAGACATCATCTCTACAATAAATCAAAAACTTAGCCAGGCATGGTGGCACATGCCTGTAGTTCCAGCTGCTTGGAAGGCCGAGGCAGAAGGATCTCCTGAGCCCAGCAGGTCGAAGCTGCGGTGGCCATGAGTGTGCCACTGCCCTCCAGCCTGGGCAACAAAGTGAGATTCCAACTCAAAAAAAAAAAAAGAAACGAAAAGAAAAAATAGTCTTCTCAGTTTGAATTTACATGAATGAGTCTTTAGAAAAGTATCTTTTTGTTTTTTAAACCTTTTGCTCAGGTACTTGTTTTGGCTCCAACAAGGGAACTAGCAAACCAAGTAGCCAAAGACTTCAAAGATATAACGAGGAAACTCAGCGTGGCATGTTTTTATGGTGGAACATCATATCAAAGCCAAAGTGAGTAAATACGTATGGTAGTAGTGCAAGATGTGTTTGCTACTTAAATCTAAAGAAATAATGTGAACGTCTATATTTGATTTTTACATGTTACTGGCATTTCTCTCCTCTCACAGTTAATCATATTCGAAATGGTATTGACATCTTGGTTGGGACCCCTGGTCGTATCAAAGACCATCTGCAGAGTGGCCGATTGGATCTTTCTAAACTGCGCCATGTTGTGCTTGATGAAGTGGATCAAATGTTAGATTTAGGTTTTGCTGAACAAGTTGAAGATATTATTCACGAATCCTACAAAACTGGTATATCCTAATTCAAAATAAGCACATTAGCAATTCTTCTTTGATCTTAAAAGCTTATGAGTTTTTTATTTCATAATTTCTATTGCATTGTCCCCGGTGTTCTAACAAAACTAAAGTTATTTATTGTCTGTTCTCTCTCTGAAAAAGAAAATACTGTAGCATACTTTAAATATTTTCTTAACTTTCTATGCTTTCTTCCATGTATTATTTTTTATAGTTAGTAGTTAGATTTACTAACTCATTTTATTGATTTCTTTGTTCCTTCTTAAATTCTCACCTTCCTTCTGGGTTCAGTTCTCTTCAGTCCCCCTGGTTTGAAAATTGAAAGTTTTAATAATTGCAATGAAGTCTGTATATGTTAAAAATTCACCCCAAGTTTTGAATTTTTCATTATTTCTTTGAAGCTTGGGGGGATTTTTAAGAGTTGGCTACATCAAGGGATATTAAGAAAACATTTGAATTCTTTTTGTTTATTTAAGATTCTGAAGACAATCCTCAGACTTTACTTTTTTCTGCAACTTGCCCACAGTGGGTATACAAAGTTGCAAAAAAATACATGAAATCCAGATATGAACAGGTTGACCTTGTTGGAAAAATGACTCAAAAGGCTGCAACTACTGTGGAAGTAAGTAGCTTTCCAACATGATAGATTTTAGCTTTTAGTTGGTATTTATTTTTGAAATTTGTTGATGCTAAACTTAAATTTTGGTTATTTGTTCAGGCCTAATCTTTCTTTTCTGCTCTTAATAAGATACCTATATTTTTCTAAAGTCTGAGACCAAGGAGCAGAATTGAATACATAGGAAAATAAAAAGTATGTGAACAGGCAAGTACTAATAGGAGACACAGGTAGTCATAGAGACAGATTTGAAAGTATTTATTTACGTCAAGGAGCTGGAAAAAAGACTTGAAAGTATTTAGAATGTGACAAAGGCAATTCATATTGAATAGAAAAAAATTGTGCTGGGACAATATGTTACAACTTAGGTGAAAAAAGTTAGATCCTCATCTAATACCCTATAACAAAAAATTTAAAAATTAAGGCATAAAGTAATTTAAAGTAGATGCAGGTGAATAGTTATTTGATCTCAGAGAAGAGAAAACATGTCTTTTTTTTTTTTGAATTGAAGTCTTACTCTGTCACCCAGACTGGAGTGCAAGCCGCTCCCGGCTACTGCAGCCTTGACCCACTGGGCTCCGGCGATCCTTCCACCTCAGCCTTCCAAGTAGCTGGAACTACAGGCGTGCGCTACCACGCCCAGCTAATATTCGATTTATTGTTGAGATGAGGGCTTGCCAAGTTGCCCAGGCGGGTCTCAAACCTGCAGCCTCAGGCAATCCACTCACCTCAGCCTCCCAAAGCACTGGGATTACAGGCTTAGCCACTGAACCCGGCTTAGAAAACACTTCTAAATGTAGAAGTCAGGTGTGGTGGTTCACGCCTATGATCCTAACACTTTGGGAGGCAGAGGTGAGAGGATTGCTTGAGCCCAGGGGTTTGAGACTAGCCTGGGCAACTTGGCAAGACCTCATCACTATAATACATCAAAGAACTAGCTGGGCATGGTGGCGTATGCCTATAATTCAGGCTACTTGGAAGACTGAGGCAGAAGGATTGCTGAGCCCCGCAAGTCGAGGCTGCTGTGGCTGTTAGTGTGCCACTACATTCCAGTCTGGGTAACAGTGAGACTCTGACTCAAAAAAAAAAAAAAAAAAAGTCAGAAAGGTTGGGAGTGGTGGCTCACGCCTATAATCTCAGCACTTTGGGAAGCTGAGGTGAGAGGATTGCCTGAGCCCACGAGTTCCAGACCAGCCTGGGCAACTTGGCGAGACCTCACCCCTACAATAAATTTAAAAATTAGCCAGGCATGGTGGTAAGTGACTGTAGTTCTAGCGACTTGGAAGGCTGAGGCATAAGGATCGCCTGAGCACAGCAGGTCGAGATTGTTGTGGCTCTGAGCGTGCCACTGCCCTCCAGCTTCGGTAACAGAGTAAGACTCCAACTCAAAAAAAAAAGAAAAAGAATTGGTGAGGGATAAAGGTGATAATTTTGAGTCCATGAGAATTAAACCAATAGTATGTTTAATGTAATAAGGTACCAGGCACAGTGGCTCATGCCTGTAATCCCAGCACTTTGGGAGGCCTAGGAGGGAGGATTGCTTGAGGCCAAGAGTTCAAGACCAGTCTGAGCAACATAGTGAGACCTCATCTCTAACAAAAGTCAAAAAAATTAGCCAGGCGTGGTAGCACTTGCCTGTAGTCCCAGCTACTCGGGAGGCTAAGATGGAGAGATCACTTGAACTCAGGAAGTTGAGACTGCAGTGAGCTCTAACCGTGCCACTGCTCTCCTGTCTGGCGACATAGTAAGACTCTGACTGAAACAAAAAAACAAAAAAGAAAGGTAATATTTATAGTGTTTATGACAGTCAGGTGTGTACCACATATGTCACTTTTCCATTAAATAGATGCATATGTGTGTAGGTAGGAAAAAATAGGCTAAGTGAGCAGTAGTATCATCTATAAAATGCAATGCGATGGTTAAAAAGAGTAAATTAGAGTGAACGATAAAAACCAAATTACAGGTTATGAACAAAATCACATTTTTTTTTTTTTTAATGTAAATCTCACTCCGTCACCCAGGCTGGACTGTAGTGGCATGCTCACGGCCACCGCAGCCTCCACCTATTGGGTGAAGGCTATCCTGCCATCTCAGCCTTCCAAGTAGCTGGAACTACAGGTACATACCACCACGCCTGGCTAATTTTTTGATTTAATGTAGGGACGAGGTCTTGCCATGTTGCTCAGGCTGGTCTCGAACCTGTGGGCTCAGGCAGTTCTCTTGCTTCGGCCTCCGAAAGTGTTGAGATTACAGGCATGAGCCCCAGTATCCGGCCTTACACTATTTTAAAAAATATAAAAATAATGCTAAATGAATTCCCTTAGTATTTATGTAAATGTGCAAAAATTTGTTGGAAGAATAAACATCAAATAAGGATTACTTCTGATTTTGTTATAGTGCAGTATGGTAAACATATATGAAAATTGAATAGTATAAGAAACATGATGTACCATTACCAGGCTTAACGGTGATCTTTTTGCTGGGGACAGTGGCTCACACCTGTAATCCCAGCACTTTGGGAGGTGAAGGTGAGATAATGCCTGAGCCCAGGGGTTTGAGACCAGCCTGGGCAACTTGGTGAGACCTCATCTCTACAGTGAATAAAAAAATTAGCCAGGCGTGGTGGCGTGTGCCTATGGTTCAGGCTCCTTGGAAAACTGAGGCGGAACGATCGCCTGAGCCCAGTGAATTGAGGTTGCAGTGGCCATGTGCATGCCACTGCACTCCAGCCTGGGTGACAGAGTAAGACTTCGACTCAAAAAAAAAAAAAAAAAGCCCAATCCAAAACACTGATCTTTTCTACACCCCAATACATTTTTCACTCTCAAATTTGAAGCAATCCCAGTCATTTCATTTTCATGTAATTGTACATATTTCTAAAGTGATAAGTAAGGGCTCTTCAAAAGATCAAAAACAAAAAGCCACAGTCATTGTCACAGTGGAAGACAGCTAATGTAATTAAGCATCTGTGTATGTATTATACTAGCTGTCTTTAAAAACAAAATAGTTTGAATCCAAATAAGATCCTTACATTGCTACTTGGTTAATATGTGTCTTTTTTTTTTGAGTTGGAGTCTCACTCTGTCACCCAGACTGAAGTGCAGTGGCCGCTCCCGGCCACCGCAGCCTCGACCTGCTGGGCTCCGGCAGTCCTTCTGCCTTAGCCTTCCGAGTAGCAGGAATTACAGGCGCGTGCTACCACGTCCGGCTAATTTTTTGATTTATTATAGAGATGAGGTCTCGCCAAGTTGCCCAGGTGGGTCTCGGACCCGCAGGCTCAGGCAATCCACTCACCTCAGCCTCCCAAAGGCGAGGGATTACAGGCTGAGCCACCGAGCCCAGC